TGTCTGACGCGTCTGCCTCCGCGACCCGAAAGGAGAAGCGGCGATGGAAGATGAAGATGAAGATGAAGTTCCGGCCTTGAAACAAATACTTTTCTCATTTTAGCTACAATTACAATTTTTATGATTTCTCCGTATAAATGAATATGGAGAGTATTGTTTTTGGGAGAATGAACAACTCCTGCTGAAACCAATCCAAAGAATAAAGAAACCCGGAAGTAAATATAAGCATGAGGTGAGAAAACGGATATACCTCAAGCTATGTTGCACAGTCATGATAAACTGCTATATTTCCATTTTGAATAAATCACCAAGAGTAACGCCTAACAAAGACATTATTAGCTGAACGACGTCTGAATCCGTAAATAGTCGCGGAGATCTTCAACGTTTACTTCACTAATCGGGGATTCGATCCCTGGTCTGATCATTCGCCTTTCTTTCTTCAGAGGTTGATAAATGAATGCCACTCTGCATGGGATGGGGTGATTTTACTCTATGTTTGCCAGGTAGCTGCTGTCGGCTTTAAAACAAGGCACCAACGTCTGATGGCATCGAAACTAAGATCAGCGCCCCGCAACACCACGAACATTTGACCATTCCGTGTTTCAGTGTCAGAGCTGAACCAGGATTCATGGCAACTGTAGTTACGCTTTTGAAACAGACTTTCATAATTATATACAGCCAGAATAAAAGCAAGGTTACGTGATGTTGTTCGATTTGTGAATGTTTTCATTGTTTTTCTTGCGACAATGACGAGGCATCAAATTCTGGCGTGCTAGAGAGGTTTGTGCATTTCGAAATCAAACGAAAGAAGAACATTTATTAATTAATATAATCATATCATTAACGATTGTGTATAGAATCTAAGCTACTAATTATAGTAACATAATTACTTTCAAAACCTTTAAGTCAGAAAATCTTCAGTGGTAGCAAAGTTGACCAACTGGTTTGCATTTAAAGTCGCGAAAGTCATGGTTCTTATTGTGAGGTAGCATCGCTGATCTCCGATTCAGAAAAGCCCGAAGACTCTGTCGCAACGTGCCGCTTTCCACCTTTTTCCGAAAACGGTTCTGCAACGAATATCATGGTCTTCTCGTTAACTCTTCCTGCGCTGTCGTCAGACGTTGAGCTAGTCTTTGATTCTGATGAATTCGAACTCTTTGCCTTGCCCACCATAAGGTGATTAATCGATTTTTTGTGTCTTCCTAAAGTCAGCTCTACGGCTGGCTTCGTTGACTTGTCACGAGAGATTGAGTTGGTGCTCGATAAGGATGAATCTGAGGACTTGGATTCGATTATCTCTTGCAGGCCAATCTGGCGTTCATATCTGTCTGGAGACATTTCAGTGACTGAATTCACTGACTCCTTTTCTACGGTGCGTGAGCTGTCATCAAATGCTAAAATTGTCTCTGAACCCAATGAATCTGATGCTTTCTTTTTGACTAGCGCCGGCTGCCAATTTTGGTTTCCATGTCTTTCTAAAATCGGTTCTTCATGTAATAGCGCGGTCCTTCTTTCGACACTGTTTGACCCGTCATGAGCGGTTGAGCTGGTCTGTGATTCCGACGAATCTGAAGACTCTCTTTCGCTCATCATTTGCTGACCAACTCGTTTAATATGTCTTGCTGAAGTCAGTTGAATGGCTGATTTCACTGACTTCCTTCCAATGTTATTTGAGTTGCCACCAGACCTTGAGTTGATCGCGATGTTGTAAGATTTTGCAGACTCCCTCTGGAGCATATCTTCCTGAACAGTTCCTTTTCCACGTGCTCTCCATATTTCTTTAACGTCCAATAAACTTTCTTCAGGGTTTTGTAAGCTCTCTTGAGACTTTGAGCTGATCTCAGATTGAGAAGAATCAGAAGACTCTACTTTGAGTATCTCTACTTGCACCTTGTGATTTTCGTCTCTATTGGAGGGCTGTGAAATGCTCGTCTCTTCAGTACTGCTTGAACTCTCCTGAGATTTTGAGTTCAGCTCGGATTCTGCGATAACATCAGATTTTGTCTTTATCTCTGTCTGCTGGAAGGGCACATGTGCACCTGAAATCTGTGGCATCACTGGTGTTGGTCCTGCGGTGCTATCCTCTTCTGAAGTATCAGTATCAGTTTCTTTTGAGGGCTTGCAGTAGCAACATGCTAGACAGATCACAATGATGATGCATATCACTGCAGGTGGAAGAAACCAGTGAATTTTCATGAATTCGTTAACTGAAAAGCGGATGTAGCTCCCGCCAAGCATTAACTCTGCAAAACTACATACCTTTGTTGAAGAAGCTATGTCCGATTTGTGCCGTAGTCTCATTTGAGCTTTTTGTCAGTTTTCCCTGCCATTCGTTCGCATCGCTAATCACATCAGATTGGTTCCATCTCATGTTCCTTTCGCTAATATTTAGGATCGTACACATTCGATGAGCAACAAGCGCAAGAATCAGTGCTACGATGATTGCATTACAAAATACGCAACATTTAACGCTCAGTTATTAAAAGCATGTCGTACCAGTTTTCCAAAAGACCATTATCCTCGTTTGTTCAAGCAATCGGTCTGCTTATAATCTTCGCCGCCAGCTTATGGCTATAAAGTGCGCATAATGATGCGTCTCTCTACTCGAAGCTTACGTGTCTTCCGTTTTAAACTCGCATTACAAAACTAGCTTACGTTACTTTGCGGTACATTACACTGAACAGATATTGCAAATTTTTCACTGAAGTTTAAAACGAGCAATTTGTCCTCGACAAGTCCGAAGAATGTACGTCGTACACGGACACGTTAGACATCAAAGGAAATTGACCCGCACTCCTTATTTCTGAAGGAACTTTACAGCCAGTCAAGTTTATTAGCTTGTGCAATGCATCTGCCATAAGTGCAGAACATTTTATTGCGACTCACAACGACAACAGTACACAGTTCAAGGAATAATGCGAGAAGTCGATGCGCAAAACAAAAAAATATTTAGAAGGTATAGCACAACGTGTAGCCCTTACTTTTATTATTTTAATAGTTGCACCATTTGACATCAGGTTTTCTCTTCTTCGCACGGCCTGCGAACCGTGAGCAGAAATGGCAACGGTAGTTGAGAATATGGTGCTGTGAGGTTTAGAAGGCTTCAAAATGACCTCAAAATCACATATGAACAGAATCTGGTCAGGTCTTCGTGTTCAGCGGGTTCTGAGGTCCGGGGGCAGTCTTAAAAAGGCTTGATTATTGTCCTTGACCCTACCAGCTTGAATTTAGATGTAATTTAGCAGAAACGTATACGTTAAGATGGAACATAAGCAACCTCGAAGCTCCGCCCAACCTTCCTGCAAAATAGCAACCTGAAGTAAGCGACAATAGCAATTAACTGATCTTCCTCGTAATTAGCGGAGTTCTCCATTGCCAAGTCTCGAAGCCAACGTTTGTCTGTCGCGCAATTTGCCGCCACTAAGCTTCCAGGTTTAGCTCGTCGCCGCATCTGAGCCAAGGTCTTCCAACTGGACGATTGGAGCCCCTTTGTCACCAGTTATCGAAGAAGTTTATCGTTCAGCGATCAGTCATGCGATGTACTCAGCTGCAGCTTCGGCTCGAGCTGCACGCAGATGACCGCAGAAAATTTTTGATTATGCGTTCCACTTCTTTCGACCATAACAAATAGTTTTGGCTACTGTTCTCGCTTATCAGGCGCCAGCGACAGAATGACCGAGTGCCCTTCACCCCAGTCGAATCTGAATCCAAGTGACGGCTTTGCGAACCTTGGTCCTAGAAGAAATTTCCTCTGTGAGCTCGAGTACAGCCACCTCTTCTCTGCGACAAAGGAATATTTACAAAAGCCTGCATTTTCGAAAAATTCAGGTTCGGTGTGCTTAAAGTCCGTCTTGCCATGTCACTTTTCAGTAACAATTGCCTCATTCACTTACAAGAAAAGTGACTTCATCCCATGCATGACGAGAATATTCTGCATTGGAAAGACTTCGCCTGTTACTGCCTTCATCACTTCAGGCAAGTTAAGTCGTGTGGAGATCATATAATAAACTTGATTGGTGAAACAACATGACCTGGAGTATGAACAGTTGCAAGAAGTTTAACTTCTGCAAAGACGATCCACAGTGTCTCTCCGCGGAATGCAAGCCAAAGTGTCAGACGGACGCTCAAAGTAGGTCAGTCGATCCGTTGGATGTCGGATGTCTGTTCGATTCCATGAGCAAAAGAACAGTTATTTTGGACTAGACTCTGGTCAGTTGATATGGATCCATTTTTTTACTGTTTGCTTTGCTGTTCTCGATTTGCTCACCTGCTACACCAGGTTTTGACAACGTCCTGTGCGCCTTCAGGTTCATTTAAGCAAATCGAATGACTCGAATGACTGACTGGCCGACAGACTGACTGACAATCGAAGCATATTCAACTTCTAAATCTGCGCTTTGCTCTAATGCCTTTCTGATGGATAACAACCTGGTGCAAAACGACGCTTCACCTTAACTCAACCATCAAGCCACAGGAATATAAATAACCTTTATTTTGCACACCAACTTCTCACATTATCCTTTTCACTGTGTACTTTTGTAACAAAATATTCTTTGCTGATGGAAGATACCGTTGCTCATGCTAATAAGCTGTGTTGATTCTTAAATTTCATTAGAAGGCTCGAGTGCTGAATTAGTTTGTGTTAATATATGTCGCATAAGTGTACTTCATTCAATCTTAGTAACGATTAAGAACAATTTGAGCGCTTCAAATCTGCATGTTAAAGTTGCAAAGACTCGTTCAGAGTAACGTGTTGTAAAGCATGGCCACTTCGCTTTGTAACGCGAGTTGAAAATGGAAGACGTATACCCAATTCAAATAAAAGAAACGCATCATAATGTGCGTTTTACTGCTCTAGTAAGACAAGAAGGTTGCTTGGCTCTTGTGGAGAATAGTTAAGACACGAAGATATGAAAGTTGAATATTGTATATCTTTTCATGTAAACATAGTAGCTCTGGTTCCTATGTTTGCAGCTGATAGAAAAGGAACTCTCCCAAACATCAAAAAAGCTACATGAGATGGAAGGATCTGCTATGTTTAACGATGGAAATGCATGTCAGGAAAGACAGGTAAAACGCCCAAATGTGATAAACCCACAAATGAAAGGGAGATTCCCAAACCAAGGCGAATGTCAAACGAAAGGTATCTTGTGACACGATTGTCCAGCACAAGTAATCTAACGACGACACCACAGCCACAAATCTGACAAAATTGCTCAGTCCTTTAGAGAAAATTATTTTAAACCATGTTTGTAAAAAATTTTTAGAATGGAAACCAACCAGAATCTGCAAACGAACAATCGAGAACCTTCGGAGCACGCAGTTTACAATGAGGAAATACAGGACGGCGGGGATCAATAATTAAACGCTATTAAGATACGCAACTCTAGCCTACCCGAAGCAATGGTTCATCCGAAACACGGGCAGAACATCCAGCGTATACGACATTCGAGCAATTACGAACAAATGTGAATTACACGATTAAAGCATATTATGATAAAGCTTGATTCTCAGAAATTCCGTATGAAAAATTTGTTTTGATTTCTGTTTGACTTTGATACTACATAAACTGTTAGAAAAGAGGGAGAAACTGCAGAAAGCGGAAGAAAATGGACTCTGTAATGGCAGAAAAACCAGCAATAAAACTGCTAGCCGGGAAGAAATGTATACGATTAACTTAGCCTGGTGACTACTGCAGTACTATCAAACAATGATCCAGCCCTCAAAACATTTGTATTATTTGTACTGCCGTGTGCTCAATTTTACAACATATATCTAACATACTACCACCTGATGCAACTGAATTCGTCGCGCACCAGGTCCTAGTAAGGCTGGTCACCCAAACGCGGAGCAACCATATTAAGACTGGCCTTTCCTGCAGGTGGTTTACCACTGTGAGATGCAGGATCGTTGCAGATCTTGCTCCGGACTGGGCAACAGTGTCGCGCGCACATACAAACGCACATACACACACACACA